AATCGTCACTACCTGCGTCACTGAACTTGCGACACAAACACAACAGAACCGCTAGATTTAAATCAGCACAGCCGCGAAGGATCAAACGCAACGGTTTTGAACAAGCACACCTTTTTTAACACCAAAAAGTGGCTGTTTCGTTGTCTGTTGAGGAAGTACAGACGTTCCTCTTGTTAATAGCAGAGGAGCGGATCCAGCGAGAGCTTGATGGGGCGACGCGAATAATACCACCCACTCTAAAGCGGTACTGAACTGCAGTGGAAACGCAAACCGAGCCGAGCCGAGCCGTGCCGTGCTGTACCGTATCGTACTGAGCCGTGCCGAGCCTAGTCGTACCACACAGTGGAAAAGCGACATTATTTTCACATAGCTATGAGAAGCGTTAAACATGGACATGTATTAAAGGGTCATGAAACCTCCCCGTTTCAGCACTGGTTAGTTCTCACCACAGTTTTAAAAAAATGCTAAAAAAGTGGCCGTGGTGCGCAGCGGAGCAGAGGAGGGGGAAGAGGGGAGACAGACAACACACACAGAACGTTTCTCTCAGTTATTGTGCGCGATGTCATCTCACAGTCTGAAATGTCTGTCATAGCAAATCAACACATGCTGTTGTGAATAATTAAGCGAAGCATCTTGTCATAGGATAAGAACACACAGTCTCATGAATAATTTAAGAGACACCGACGCGTCATCGATGTACTATTAGTCCATTGCGATGAAACCGTATATTAAAAGCTAACATAAGCAGTAGCATTTACAAATAACAGCGTATCTAAAAGTATGAGACAACAACAAACAAAAAACATTGGCCTACCATTAAAAGCCGTGCTTGCACAGGTTCTGCACGATCCTTCAATAATATCCTCTGCTTCTCAATCGGGCTCAAACTGATAAGCGATATTAACAACGCCGTTGTTTACAATACAACCGGAGCACACGCTGCTGAGGTGAGGGGAGGGACGTTTAGACGCGCACTAGACTACTGGACTAGTTTAGACTACTGGGCTAGCTAACCAATCAGAGCCCATCGCCTATTTCTGAGGGAGGGGCTTCATAAAAAAAGGAAATGATCCATGTGTTTCTCAGAGAAGGGACAGAGCGGTGTGGAATAAAGGTAAATTATGTGAAAAAGAATGCGTTTTTTTTTTAAAACGAAGCATTAACATGTTAGACTGCACCCCATAAACACAATCAAGCCTAGAAAAAAACCAGTGAACCACCCCTTTAATATAACTAGAACTTGTAAGTGGTTGCTAGGGTATTCTGAGTTATTGAAAGCTATTCTTCCCCCATTTTATTATTTGTCTAATCACTAGTAAAAGTAAACTATACCTTTCCTCAGCAATCCACGCAGTTTAAGGCATTATTTATGCCCGTATTATAAGCAAAATGTAATACTTAAAGATTTGTTCAAATACATGAGCAAGCACTACTAATTATATAAATAATTTAAAAAATATAAATGTTTTTAAATTACTGTCAAAAACAAGGGTATTATGTCCATAACCAATATATATAACCAATAAACTGCCCAAGATTGTTTGAAAAAGAAAAAAAGGTATTGACAATCATCACAGGTAATAAACAAACTCTATTTCTGCTATTTTACAGTAACAGGACTCTCACCATGGTGGGTAGATGTGGACGATGTCTCCGGGTACAGCCGATTACCCGGAGACATACGATTTCTCCAACCGGCAGCCTGTCACACACAGCAGCCTGCATGCCACATTCCTCCCGAACTCCCAGAATCCTCAGCATCAGCACCCCTGGCCTGTCAGCTTGGGTCAAAAAAAACAAAACAATCTGTACATACAATTTAAGTCCTAACTTTGGACAATACTCAGTCTCTTACACAAAATCTCTGCTTCTACTAGGAACAAATGTTTTGAATGAAGCTTAATTTTAACTATGATTGATTGAACAACATTTAATATAGTTAAGTACTATACAGCATGAACAATTAGTCTGGAAGTAAGCTTTAAAGTTTATAAAATGACCAGCTCTGAAAGACGGTTTCATTCTCAAAGTCATTAAGTTTTGCAAAACAGCACAGATACGATACAGGCCCAGTAAATGAATAACAGCAGCGGGATATTTTGGGTTATGCAGTGAAAACTCAACACTGGCACGGCTTCAAGTTTTTCATTTCAGTCAGTTCTGAGGAAATGAAACAAAATCCAGCTCTCTGACGGGATATATTCCCATGCTGACTGTTCAAGGAATAGTTGGCCCCCTCAATTGGACACATGAACAAAATTGACTCAGCTGAAATCATGGTGAGCACAGCCAAGACTTCAGAGTAGAACGTTGTGTAATGGAAATTTTTGTGAAAAATTTAAAGCAGTGAGAGAAACAGGCTAAACTTACTCAATGCAATAGCATGCAAAACAAAAATACAAGGAACACTGGCTTTTTCAGTTTTTTGGGAGGAAATGGTACCAAAAAGCTATGCATATGAAAAGGAAAGGAACTAGCTGCTAAATGCACACACTGACATCTGATTTATCAGCCATGAGAACACCTAATATGTTGCATATAAAAATAGATAAAAATAAATCTTGCAACAAGCAAGAAGTGAGTGGGAGGAATTTCTTTAGGAATTTTCTAAGGAATTATGCCAGTTGCAAAGCTGTCCATAAACTATATCCAATCATCCTAAATCACTTTTCCACATGCTTGAGAACTAAATTCAGAGTTAGTCAGCTAACAAACATTACATGCACAAGATGCAATGAATCAGTAGATGTGGAAAGACAGACATTCAAAACTAGAATATAATTAAACCAATATACATTTGAGATTTAAAAAAGTTTAGATGAATAACAATTTTAATCAACTATTTTTTTAATTATGATATTTATTTAAAAACTTTCCACCAGTGTTATTTTAGAATCATTGATATACTATTACAGTTTCTGTTAATATTTGATATTATTTTTATATTTTGTTTTCATTTTTTCATTACTTTTGTTGTGTTTTGTCACTTTTATTATTATTACTATATATATATTTTTTTTTTTTAAATATGTCTATATAGTTATATGATATTATATAAAATATGTCTATTTTAAGTTTTACTTTATTTAGTGTTAGTTTAGTTTTTAAAAAATAAGACATTTTGGCTTGGCAACTACAGTAGCTGAAATAAAAAGATTTTAATATTTTATTTCAGTTAATGTTTATTTTATTTCAAGCAATGAACATTTAGTTTTACTTAATAATAATAATAATAACAATCCTGCTTTGCACTGGTAGTGCATCACACAAGTTTAATTTCCTCATTTCATTTTACGTTTTCTCTTGAATTTCCACCGTCAACTGAAACATTAACTTCTTTAAACCTCCACACAAACATACCTACACACGCTGAAGACCCCTAGTAGGGCACTGTTTGAAAAGAAATACGTTATACCATGGAAAATGAAAACGTACGGTGTGTGATTGTCTGCAGTGTGTTTGTGTCTGTGGTTTCCTGTTGCTTTGGCTGTGTGACAATTATTGTCACCTTAATCACATGAAACAAGTGTGCTTTCACAGCCTCCTACTCCAACTGTACACAGTGAGATCTCATCGCTGGAATATTCTACACATTTCATCAAGCATGACAAGCAATTATGGAAATATGACAACTGCGGGTTGGTGGTTAAATTATTTCCTGACCCATTCTTTGGGTCAGATCTGACACTGGCAGTATTGAAATGAAAAGACTTAATTTTGAATTGTGAAAACATTTATGATAATGTTTTCATTAGTGGTCAGGAACAGAGAACTCACCACTAATGATCTGTACAGAGCTGACATTCAAGACATAATTGAGTCTTCACATAAACAGACAGGATTCAGATGGATGTGTTTTACCAGCTGATGTGGTTGAGTTGCACTGATGTCTCCAGAAGCTGATGGCTGATCTTGCCTGCTGTGGAGTCGGTTCAGCCTTTCAGCAAGACCTCCCCTATAGAGAGAGATCACACGGATTCAGGCAAACAGAATCAATTGAATCAGTCCAACAGAATCAACTGAATTTGAATTAATCCCACAGAATCATTCTAAAGCTAATTACTTAGAATCAAATGCATAAATTCAAATCCCACAAAATCAATCCCAGAGAATTAAACCTATAGGTTTAAGCACTCAGAATCAAACCTACTGAATCAATCACACAGAATCAATCATTCAGAATCAAACACACGTGATGACTGAAACCACCCTGAACCAGTTACACCGAATCAAACCTATAGATTCAGTTGCATGAATACAAGCCCACAGAATAATTTATATATGCAATCACATAAAATCAATGATAAAGAATAAACATGAATCATTTTTATAGAATTAAATAATGAATCTGACTGAATCAACTAGAATCAATCATATTGAATGAGTCAGAGAATCAACTCGAATAAGTCTCATTGTGTCAATTCCATTAAGAGAATTAATTTGAATCTGTTCAAAGACAGAGAGTCAGATCCATGGAATCAGTCATAGAGAATCAGTTCAAATCAGTCAAGTGGAATCAATCCCAGAGAATAATTTATATAAAATCAATTAAATGGAATCAATCATAAAGAATGAATCACATATAGGCTAAACAATTACATGGAATCATAAAATCAACCATGCAGAATCATTTGTACAGAATCAGTTACACAGAATCAATATTAAAGAATGAATCCCATGGATTAGATTATAAAATATGCCACAGAATAAATTATAGAGAATCAATCCCATAGACTCAGTAAGAATAAATCCCATTGAATCAGGCATAGAGAATCGATTAGATTCATACAATTAATGATAAAGAATAAATTAGAATCATTCCAATAAAATTAACCATAGAGAATGAATCTGATTGAATCAACAAAAATCCGTCATAGAGAATCAATAAGAACCCATGAATCAATTCCATATAGAGAGTCAATTTGATTCATTCAACCATAGAATCAAACATAGAGAATCAATTTCAAGAAATCTATCATACTCTCTATAGTCATATTCACTATAATCTATATTCACAGAACAGGGGAAACTGATCAATAATTAGCTAAATGTTTTGTCTTTGATAAAACTTAATAGGCTTACATTTGTTACAGGCTTGTTAGCTAAACCACATGCTTCTTATTACCAGAGCAGCTCCATTCTGTATGCACTTGTTAATGGTTATTTGCTTTATTTATGTTTATGATGTACAGATTTGGGTTCATTTTGTTACAGGTGGGAGGTAGTTTTTACATGTGCTTGTGCTATAATCCTTATGTGTGAAGTCACATAAATGCATAATAAAAAAACATAAAAAGCCTGCGCTTGCCTGCAGAAGGGACTGAGGGTCAGTAGAAGGAGCGGTGGACTAACAAGAGCCAAAAAGAGACACAGCTCCCCCGTGAGGGAACAAACTCGACACGTCCTGCCTCTCCCATTCACAAAATCTGACAAACGACTCATTTATGGTAAAAACATCATGGGCTGGGCTCAGTCTTTGATGGTGACTAGAAAGAAACTGCTGAGTAATATCTGACAAAAGACTCTTATGCATGTGGTGCTGGTTCTAGTGAGCATAGGAGGAAATACTCTGGTAAATTGACAGAAGGTGACAAAAACAAGCAAAGGAAGCCAATCCTTGATAGCCAATCAAAACCTAAGCTGACCAGGTTTTTACGGTAAGGGTGTGGATGCATTATTAAACCTAGACTTTGAACCCTTTTGTATTCTGTGTGTTTACACTGATATGAAACTTCGGGTGAACTTGACGTCAAACTGTGAAAAAAAACCCCAGTAGGAATATATAACAGTATGAAGGATTACTGTCAGATAAGACGATAAATCCCAATCATAAAGAAAATCACTGAACTCATAAATTGAGTTCATCTTGCACAGGGTTGCACTGAAATGAAGGTTAAGATCCAAGTACCATAGATCATACCTTTCAAACCTCCTCTTTTTACTCGAGTCCTCTGGGGTCATGATGCTCTTAGGGGTTTGTTTCTGAGGTGTCTGAAGAATCGCCTGAGCAGATCAGACCCACTCGCTGACCGACTGCCTGCTGGTCTCAGCTGCGTCTAGAAAGGAAGAGTCTGCTCTGTTTTCTTCTGGATCTTCATCATTATCATCATAAGAGGAGTAGTTTGAAATCTCGGTTGGTGACTAAAAAGGAGAGGAGAGTTTTACATTTAGTCATATGATGTGCTTTTATTATTATTAAAAATTATTTTAATTGAAATAAAGCTGAAATAAGAAACATAAATATTACATGAAAAACTTAATGGCACAATATGTAATTTTTTATTTTATGCGTTTGGTCTCGTACTGTATCGCGTACCTTGTCAGTGTCGTGCGCTTTGCTTGGCCATTTGTTGTGATAAACAGGAAAGTGTGTTCAAGCACCAGCAAAACACAGTGTAAAGAAATACTCTTTGAGAGAAGCAGTCAATCAGCAGAAGTTAAAAGCAGCTCGTAAGTGTATTTATTTCTTGTCTCAGTGTTTAGCTCAGTTGTCGTTTGCTTGTTTTGTTTACTGTGTGGAGACGTGCTGAAATCGCGTTTGATCTCGTACTGTATCACGTACCTTGTCAGTGTCGTGCGCTTTGCTTGGCCATTTGTTGTGATAAACAGGAAAGTGTGTCCAGCTGAATTCAATTTGAGTTTTGTTAGACGAATATAAAAAGCTTAGTATACCGCAGCAGTGGTCGCAACAGCCCTCGTGTGAAGACCGAAGAGTGTAAAGACCATCGACTCTACCGTTCGACTCCACCGAGCAGGGACACCAGCAAGGGACATAAGTATCGCTTTTGAATCATTCTCTTTCCTACTTCTTGTTTCCCTTCTGTTTTCAGTTTTTATAACCAATTCTTACTATGTGTTTCCAGATCCCTACTATCACTACCACTCACAAACCATGCATCACACACTGTAGGCAGCGCAATCCTAACAACCTGCGCACTTTGCCTATGTCTACTAATACACTACTTTCTTTTTCTATTGGTCTCTGGAATTGCCAGTCTGCTGTAAACAAAGCAGATTTTATTACTTCTATTACAAGTCATTCAAGACTAAACCTCATGGCCCTGACAGAGACGTGGATCAAACCAGAGGACAATGCTACACCTGCAGCACTC